GCCAGCAAATAGCCACCTTATGGCTGGTGACAATCCTGTCGTCAGTTTTCGGTACGGCCTCGATGGACGCCCACAGGCAAAGAACACCATCATTGGTGCAGTGATGGCATGCATCACACCAGTTAAGAGCGTCGAGGAAGCCTTGAATGATAACCGCACAGTCCGGGACGAATTCTGTGTATTCCTCTACAGTGGTATGTACATGTATAACGTGTATATTCTTTCATATATAAAAAAAAATTATTCATCAGTCATTGTCATAGTCAAAGTATGAACACTAAATGGAAATTTCATGTGGGAGACTTCCTGCAATATCCTCAAGGTCCACTGTATATCATGTTAAAGTTATTTTGATGTTAAACATGATTAGGTTCTCCTTATACTTATGCCTATACTTCAGTGCTGTATACCTTCTTATGGGCTCTAGATGTCTGAAGCTCTTGTATGTATCCAATAGTTAGTAAAATGGAAGCACTGACCAAATCATAAAAGCAGAGTGTATGAAGTATACCATTCCAAGATTAAGATACAACCTACTAAGTATACTTGTCCCTCATTACCCTTTTCAGGCAAGGAAGATTACGAAGAACAAGTCCGGTCCGGGTCACGAGTATTTAGAGAGATGAATGACCTGCAAACGAATGGGCTCGACTTGTTCCTTGGACATGATGATGAAGGCCAGGAGAGAAGGAAGCACGTGAGAATAAATTGGTAAGGAGTATGCTTGAACTTTTGGGATTATTGTGATCAACTTTATATTCCCTGTGACCCGACCAGGAAGCAACCATCATCACAGTCCTATAAAACAGTACCATATCATTGTGTATCACCCTTACAGGTACATAATCTCCGACTGGAAGGCCTTAGCTGAGATGCAGGGGATTGTTGGGCCGACTGGTAATGTGTACATTTGTTTTTAACAAGCAACACTATAAATCCAGAAAAACACTCTAAAACCATAACACGCCTGGGGATTTAAGTGCATCAATTCCAGAGACTGAGTTATGTTATGTTACCTGCATATTTGCTATCATATACTCTCTCATATTTAGAAATATCAAATGTTTTCTTAAAACTATGCACTTGAATTCACTGTTTTCCTGATTTTAACTAAATTTAAGTGTTCTCCCGGATTTATAGTGTTGCTTGGTTTCTTCATATAACTAGATGTTTTGGATGTTAAGTTCTTCTTGCAGGTTATTGGCTCAGAAATTAAGCTATAGGATTGTGCTTCATGTTTGATACTCTGACTGCCACCCCAAAGCATTGGAGGCTAGCCAGTCTTAGTGAAGTTTGTTTTAAGTGCATAAATTCTATGTTTTAGAATACTGTACCAGTGATTGTGTATTATCAATTGCTTATATTCTGATTGTACCTTTCATAGGAGACTACTTTTGCATACTATGCTATTGTCCCAAAGAAGGACATTGCTCGGTTCAGACAAGGTAATGTTATTATCATTGAATCATTAATGAAATTATACATGTCACTCTTGCTACTTGTGCATGATGATAGCTACACCATAAGTTCATAATGTTTCTCCCTGGACAATAATTGGGAAATACACAACCCCTTGCACAATGTGACTCATTGGTCAAAAAAAGCTTGTACAGAACCAATAAATATACATACTAAGGTATCAAGGTCTCCATTTCAGAGTATCCCCTGAGGACTCTGGAGGACGCTGCACGCTATGTAACAAACAGACAAGACAGCAAAGGGCATCGCCATCTTCCAGTCATGAACATCCCTTGTGAGAATGTCATTATTGACACCATGCACATGTACGTACTTTAAATCCTTTATTGACAAAGATACAGTCTCTCATGTCTTCAACTACAGATAGTTGGAGACATGTATGGTCAACCATTTAATTGCATGTTCGTGTTCAATTGCACAGTAATCAGGTAATGTTTTGTCTTCACTTCTACCAACATGCACATACAATGGCTGGAAATAATATTACAGGTACCCAGGAAACCAGTTGTTCAGTAATCAGTTCTCATTTTACACAATCGTAGTAACTTTGTATTTCAATCACTAAAATATTGCAATTATGCATTATAACTTTCCAGGTTCCTCCGTATAGGCGGCAAGCTTCTCACACAGGTACTTTTAAAATTGTTTGCATGGATACAGGCATAGCAAACTATAAACAAGTTCGATTGAAATAGAAATTGACCAAATTCCTCTTTTTAAAATGTTAAGAAGCAATCTGTAATAAGGGAACTTCTTGTACTTTCAGCTCATAGGCTGGGCAATTGACCAGGATGCCACGGAAAAGTTGGAGCAAGCTATGAGGGATATTGGTATTGGCACCTTTTACATAAGAAAGGAAGCAACACAGCAGGGACCCAGTACCTTCAAGTGGAAAACTTTGTCAGGTATGACATCCCTTTACAAGTGTAATGACTGAGCAAAAACAAACATGAAAGATCAGCAGGTATAAGCTTCAATGTTACACAATTTGCTTCAAATTCATCATATTTGGGTTACATTTAAGTAGCATGGTTGGTTTTATTTTCAAATCACACAATTCTACATGCAGAGGACATAGATGTAATTAATTGCAATTCACTTTTACCCACATAGCCAAAGAGCTCAAGAAAGCTGTGAAGATGCTGCCGGATAAGATGCCACAGATCATTCAAAGCATAGGCAGAGCCTCTGAGGTGAAGATCGACAGTCTACAGGGGCGGCAACTAACAAGCATCCTCAACAGTAAGGGGGCAAGGGTCCCAAAGCTGATCAGTGAGAGGAAAGCCCTCCTTAAGACCCTTCTGGGAGGAGCAGAAATGGTAAGCTGTTTAAAATCAGACAGTTGTCAACACTATAGATTACAGTAACACAAATGTGTTAAAAAATATTGAATTTCATTTTTAAGCTTCACATTTCAACCCCTTTTCTCCACATTGCTGTTTCCGCTACTGTGTAGGTAACACTACCTGGGAGGAATGAGGATGCTGTGGAGATTGAAGTGAGGGACATCCAAGAGCTTTGGCGGGTAAGTTGTAAAAATGGCACTTGAGTCGTTTCTTTTGACAAAACAGATCTCAGAAAAAAAAGAGGTTTTATTTGTGTTAAAATCTACTTCTCTCTACACAGGACCTCCCCAGGATCATGGACATTCCCAAGGACCCAACATTACACCACACCTACCAAAGGGAAGCAAGGCAGTGGGCGGAAAAATTCCGGGATACAACATACGCCGAAGATATCACTCCATACATACATTGTAAGTTAACACTATTATATTTTCAATTTGTAAACAAACTATTAGTATTCAATGCAAAGAAATTGTTAGTCCTGAGCTATGCATGTGACATCCTTTAACAAACAAATATTTTTAGTAACAATAGAACAGCAACTGCTGACTAAAACAATGGTACAATAAAAAGATACAGAGAAAATGCTGTCTTCACTTTTACCATATTATTTGTGCTTCACATTAATTATGACAAATTCAGAAGTTTCAAACATTTTTTTCAGACTTTGCCTGCCATGCTGGTGCACAGCTTCAACAACACCCATTCTTGCACTTCGTCAATTGTGAAACTATTGAGAAAAAGAATCACATCCAGACACGAAGATATCACCTGGCAACACAGAAGGGTGGGGGCCGCAATCCCAGCAAGTGGGCAGAGCAGGTAACTTAATGTGAATCCACAGAAACAGTTGATAATCAGTTTAGCTCATAACACAAACACCCTATGATACAACTCAGATATGATTGCCTGCTACATGTATTCAATACATGCTTAAAATTAACATTTACTTTATTCTAAACTTCTCAATCTTTTCAGCTGATGCAGATTGAGAACCGTGACCTATATGCAGCATTCCACGGGATAGGACAGAGACAACGGCGTCAGTGGACCAGGAGAGCTGAGCCTGAAGACCCTGGTTACTTTGGGGGGTCTGGGTCAGAAAGCGACGCTGAGGAGTCTGCTGCAGAGGATGAGCAAGATCACGATGACGACTACGACAACACGGTAGCGTATGATGGTGAAGAGGATGATTAACTATCCTGTTGGTGTGCAGACTTCTGGTCGGCTTAGTCCGGAGTCTTTGTTCCAGTTGCACCTAAGATGAAGATGAATAGATCGTGTAGTAGACTGTAACTACATCTCCTATTTACATGTATATTTTGTTAAAACTATCCATGTACATGTGTACATACTTAAGTTAGCACTTATGGACAGAGCACGTCTTGTTTCTTTTCTGTACAAAATGAATTGCCGTATTGTCCTGCACGTACCTCAAACTGATCTGACATGTAAAAAAGAAAAGTTTGTGAGTTTTACCTGAAAAGTTTACATCAGTCCTGCCATCCAACGGCCTCTTCTCCTAGAGAAGGTAAAGTGGAGCTCAGGTTCTCCAACCATGTAGCTCACTGTTGGAGAGCAGAGTTCTGGACGATCATCATCAGAGTCCTGAGCCCAGGTGCACCTGTAAGTTTAATGACAACAGATGAGTCTTCAATGGCTTTTGGTTTGTTGATATATATTATGCATATAACACATTGTATATAATGATTCATATATGCTTCTCTGTGCAATAATAGTATGTTTATTAGTCAAGACATTATGAGTCCTTTATTCAAAATGTGATGATGATGAGTAGAAATGCTTGCTAGTGTTTTGATCTGTCGCGATGCACCCATCATCAGAGTTCCCTTTACTCGAAAGTTTGAAACCAACAATTTGACTGAGGTTGAGGTCAAAAATACCATTACCTCGGGCAGTTCGAATGGGAGAACATCTCCCTCCTCTTATAGCCCCAGGATATGTGTATTCCCTCCATCCTCACCACTCGGCACACAGTGTTGGTAGGGCAGGTGCGCACATCCCAGTGGTCCCCGAGGATGGTGTCCACTTCCCCCATGTTCTCTGCTGGCACATTAATGGCCCGTCCTCCAAAACAGTTCTCCAGGTTCTCCTCCTCCAACAGTTCCTGACACACAGGCAATGACAACTGCTGGAGAAAGATTCCCCTGAAGTTTTCTTTGGAGAACGGGACCACAACTGTCAACCTCCTGACATGTCCCTGAGTTCGTGATGGGGTGTATCTGTACCCGAGGCTGTTTGCAAGAGAATAAAATAACGTTACCCCTGTTCATAAAAAACTAGATAACATATAGCAAATTGAGTTTGTACATTTTGATTTCAGAATGATTGTATTAGTTAAGTGCAAGAAAACTGGTCTTTGCAACACTCTGTAACTTGTGTAAGGTTGAAATGTTGCCTGGAAGTACCATTTGGGTTGTGAAACTACTATATCATTACCATCCAGATGAAACAATGAAAATGTTAACTTACTTGTCAAATATCTGCTGCCGAAGTACACGCAGCTCGCGATGCTGGCTGACCTGCACTTGTTGTTCCTTGAAAACTGAAATAAAAATGTAAAGAAACAAAGTTAATATAAAAGGTAAATGAATATTGCAGAATGGAACTTTGAAAACTGTTAGAATTGATCATTTGAATTATCACACATGTATCACCTATATCAGGTTGTTCTCTCCTTAATTGAAATAAATCTCTTATAATAACTAAGTAAAAGTAATTATTGCATCTCGTTATATAAATACGTCGGGAAGATTCAAGGGGGTATTATTTTGATAGTAGTTAATTGACATCATTGACGTTAACGTTATACAAACATCACCTTTCATGCTCGGGTTGCAGCAATTCCGTTGGAGGGAGTCGCGTAGTTCGGTGTTATACCGGAGGTCAATAACGCTATTGGGCCACACTCGTTTTGTTGGAGCCCACTTGACCTCCACGTGATGCTCGTCCACCCTTCGGACGACCTCCAGTATGGGCCACTCATCCGAGTCTTCCTGTGGAGTTCGTCTCTCAGTTCTAGACTTGGGGACGCTCCAGTTGTGCCCATACACGTAATCGTCCGTGTGTGAAGACTTTCTAGATCTATCTGACCTCCTTGGAAGAGCCATTATTACCCTTTTGTATGTCGAGTAGAAGGTGTTAAACGTCTTGATCTGAGGTACAGCTTCGCGCGCTTCCTGTCACCTGACCTTTCACCAGGTCAGGCTGAGGCTTATGTTACATTTGAGACAGTTTGAGTTCTAAATTAAGTATAGTCGCCTATATCGTTATACTGTACAAAATCCTACTTGTTTATGCTTTTATTCAATGTTTCTATCCTGTTTTCATCAGAAATGTGAAACAAAATACGTCCTCCTAGCATGACATCATGGTGGGAAAACACCGATGCCTGGGAAACACAACCGATTTCCAGATGTGGCCCAGAGCTGTCACATTAGCGCGCCCTGATTGCCACTCCTGGCAGCTCCCCCACCCTGCTGGGACAGGCGAACGTGCCAGGCCCGGTACAGATAGTCGGGCCTTGAAAGTTTGATATGAAATGTCGGGATAGGTCAGACTTTCTAGCTGTCCTGTACCCACACTCCCCACACATGTAGGGTTTCTCACCGGTGTGTTTTAGTACATGTCTATCCAAATTAGATTTCTTTGCTGCAGAATAGTCACACTGGTCACACTTGTAGGGTTTTTCTCCTGTATGGGTTCTCATATGTCGGGGTAAGTCAGACTTGTTAGCTGTCCTGTACCCACATTCCCCCACACATGTAGGGCTTCTCACCAGCGTTATTCAAGCTGACTTGTTGTCGACCTGAGAAACCCCGGTGGGAGACGCATCGCAGCAGTTCTGAACAACTCCGGTGGGAGACCCCTGTCCTGCCATTGCCATGTTCAGCCTAACGAAAAAAAATTGAAGATATTACACAGATTAAGCGTTATAAGCTGTGAATGATAAAATAGAATTTATAGAAAACAAGCTTCAAAGAAATCTAACTTCACCATTAGCTTTACAAATTTGCTTCTATGTTGTTCCAAAATCATAATTTGTGAGATCTTACAATCACTCACTCACTCACACCACCAATCTCTTAAAACAATTTATATCATATTATTTATTACTTCTACGACTACGAACAATGGGTAAAATGACCCCATTCGCTAGGCTGGAAAGAGAGTCGGTTCTTGAGAAGAAGGTACAAACTACAAAATATCTAGAAACCAAAAAATCCTGTCGGCGTATCTGCTCGTAACGTACACTTTGAAATCGCCTCCTACGGACGTGACCTGAACTGCAGCCGACTCACCCGGAAAGCCAGTTGCGCAATACGGCGCATTTATACACGAACTGCAAAACCTTCACAAATCAAATCACACAGTCTGAAACCAGATACATTCCTACACCACACAACACAATTTACATCTGGCTGACGCTCTTATCAGGCTTTCTACCCAGCCTTCAAGAATATTCGCTGCACTACTTTCTATACCCGCGTCACCGTCCATTAATACTGTGACCTGCTACCTTTGTCCTTCCGTCGTCTTGCGAGGTCAGAGGTGAATATCCTTTGGGTCAAAGGTGAACTTGTTTGCCTGATTACCCATGTAGTACATTTGACGTCGGGTGGCACGTTACGTTTTCCTCATAATGAAAACCTTTTACGCTTCACCGAAAAATACGTAAAATTCGCCATTTTTGCTGGTCTAATATCAAATAATAAATGAAAGGAAGATAAAAGCTGACTAGAAAAGCAAAGCATAATGTAATGTTTACCTTCGCATAATCTGCTCTGTTGATTCTTACTCAAACACATTCATGTATATATGGTGACAGCAGTCTAAACCCCTTTCGCTATAAAATTGCAATATGACATACACCAACACTAGTTACCATGGTGATAGACTGTCTGGCCCAGGTCATTGACCTTTTGTGTTTGGAGAAAACTGAAGGAAAACAAGATGTTTTCTTCTTTAAACATAATAACAGCCAAGCCTGGTCTGAATGTTGATTTCTATGTTTTGTGATGATTTAACAAACTGCATCATTGCAAATAAAGGCAAGAAAAGCATTATCTTGAAAGTATCAAACGATTTAATTATCATAACTACATCTCCGAAAAAACTACAAACAGCATACTTGTATACAACATAACGTCTACCTTTATAAAGCTGTAAGATTATTTTCTATTTGGAAACTGAAGAACATCGGTCAATTTACACTGATGTAAATCAGCGTTAAGATTTCATTATGAACCAAACGCTAATCTACTGAGTTTATATTATTCAAAATATATTACTGTGTCTGTAAGACATACAGGCAAACACTTAGACAAAGTGAAGTATTAACAGGAAATAGAAGTTCATTCAATGGCTTCTTTCAAACAAACTCAATATTAACTTCTACGTTTCAACTACTGTTTACAATCACTTACCGATTACAGGAACTACTAGTAGAGGAACTACTAGTACAGGAAATCTAAGCTCGTACATACACAACACTAACGTCTACATTCCAACTACTGTGTACAAACACAGCACTAATGTCTACCTTTCAGCTTCAACTACTGTGTACAATCACTTAACGATGTTAATTACTGATTATGTATATGTATATTATCCAATCAATAACATTTACTATTCTCAATGTACAATTCTAGATAGCTAAAATAGATTTTGATATCTGACATTACAACAAAGTATATGGGCTACTAAGCGAAACTAAGACTTATTCTTGTACCTAAATTATAGTCATAACTTAATTAGATATTAAAGTAAACAAGTATAGGGCTTTTTCGTGGGAAAAAAACTTTGCCTACTTGCAAACATCATGCATTCTTACAGAATATTCAGCCTAAATCTTAATGAACATAACTGTCATATACCCTTAAGATTAGTATCAAAATATTAAGTAGAGAGACTGTTGGTAACAGCAGACTGTGCGTACTAAATGTCACTACGAGATGATCACAGTTGCAGACTTGGTGCCTCTGTATGGATTTTCATATGTCGAGTTAGGATAGCATAATAGAGGCTGCAGAATAGCTACACTGGTCACACTTGTAGGGTTTTTCTACCGTATGGGTTCTCATATGTCGGGATAAGGTAGACTTTAAATCTGTCCTGTATCCACACTCCCCACACATCTAGGGTTTCTCACCAGTGTGTTTTGCTACATGTTCCTCTAAATGAGATTTCCGTGCTGAAGAATAGTCACACTGGTCACACATGTAGGGTTTCTCACCAGTGTGTGTTGCTTTATGATTATCTAAGGTGCCTTTCTGTGATGCAGAATAGTCACACTGGTCACACTTGTAGGGCTTTTCTCCTGTATGGGTTCTCATATGTCGGGATAAGTAAGACTTCCAAGCCACCCTGTACCCACACTCCCCACACATGTAGGGTTTCTCACCAGTTTTATTCAAGTTGACGTGTGCTGCCGCCTGGTCTTCAACATTGCTTGTTTTGCTGTCACAGTCGACCTGGGAAACCCCGGTGGGAGACCCATTACAGAAGTTCTGACCAACTCCGATGGGAAACCCGTATCCTGCCATTGCCATGTTCAGCCTAACGAAAAAATTAAAGAAATTATACAGATTAAGCGTTATAAGCTGTCAATGATAAAATAGAATTTATAGAAAACAAGATTCAAAGAATTCTAACTTCACCAAAATTTACAATTTTAACCTAATGCATTACAACGTAACCCAACATAATTCTAACGTGTTGTTTTTCTCGCATTTGAATAAGTTTGCTTCTATGTTGTTCCAAAATCATAATTTTGAGATCGTACAATCACTCACTCACACCACCAATCTCTTAAAACATTTTATATCATATTAATTTATTACTTCTACGACTACGAACAATGGGTAAAATGACTCCATTCGCTAGGCTGGAAAGAGAGTCGGCAGTATAGCCTATAGGTTTGGTCACCAGGCTTCTCTATTTACTGTTTTTACAAATCATGAACAGTTCTACGCGTTTCTAGATTTTGTAATTGACGCCTTGTGCGATTGTTTACAATACAATAAACATTTCCATATGATTTCACGTACTCTAAAAAGGCCACTTTGCCTGATGCAAATCGACGTACATGTAAGTGGCGAGGGTCGAACGTATGTTTGATTTCGCCCCCCACCCCCTTTAATTGAAAGATATTCACATATCAAAAATGCCTACAAATTAACATCCTACCGCGGTTTTTCTTCCACAGAAATGGTCTAAAACTATTCCCCTCAACAATAGAATATTTTTTTCTGTCCGTTTCTAAGCCTTACCTGCTTCCTATGACGGTTTTTCTCTTCACGTAAACCGGAACTCGGGCAGCTTTGTCCTTCCTTCGTCTCGCGAGGTAAGAGGTGGATACTTTTTGGGTCAAGTTGTGTGCCTGATTACACCCGTAGTACATTTGACGTCGGTTTGAACGTTAAGCTGTGTTCATAATGTCAACCTTCTGCGTTCAAACCCAACACCTTACAACGTAACAAGCGTCTGACTTTTGTTTCTGATCTACTTTCATCTTCATCTTTGCCGGGGCTCAAAGATGTTATGTGAGCCCCGGCTACACCTCCATGTAGCCGCTTGGTCTAAGGCGGGCAGGCCTCCAGCCTGGCCCGGAAGGACTCAACGGTGGGAGCCATAACTACCGGGCCAGGCAAGGCGTTCCATTGCGGGAATTTAAAAATGATAATTTAAGGGAATTCAAGGCAAGCCAAACTGTTTGGTCTGAATCTTGATTTCTGTGTTTTATGATCAACTCAACACCTCTGACAATATTCCAAGGAAAAAAAAGCAACACAGAAGGAAACTTTATGTTCAAGGGATTACACGATTTAATTATGTCAGTGCAAAATATCTGTAGAGCTACAAAAAATACAAAACAGGAAATTTACTTGTATACAACCTATCGTCTACCTTTTCACTGGCGTAAAATTACTTCCTACTTTGGAAACTGAAGAATATCAGTCATTTTACACTGATACAAATCAATGCTATTAGCTTTTCGGGTTTTATAGTAAGAAATTTTAGTAGTTTAAAGAGTTGATAGTCACAAGATATAATTGTGTTTGTAGGACATATAGGCAAACACTTCTTGACAGGAATTACTAGTAGATACACAGGAAATCTAAGCTCGTACACTCAACATTAACGTAACGTCTACATTCCAACTACTGTGTACAAACACAGCACTAATGTCTACCTTTCAGCTTCAAATACTGTGTACAATCACTTACCGATGTTAATTAATGATTATGTATATGTATACTATCCAATCAATACTATACCGCTTACTATTCTCACTCTACAATTCAAGATAGCTAAAATAGATTTTGATATCTGATATTACAACAAAGTAAATGGGCTACTAAGCGAAACTAAGACTTATTCTTGTACCTAAATTATAGCCATAACTTAATTAGATATTAAAGTGAACAAGTACAGGGCTTTTTCTTGGGAACAACCGTTGTCTACTTGCAAACATCATGAATTCTTACAGAATATTCAGCCTAAATCTTAATGAACATAACTGTAATATACC